GTAACAGGACTTAATTATAATGACCACTTATTGTACTTTTTTTTACAAAAAACAATAAATTACTTCATTTCAATAGTTCTTTCTTTTTTTAAAAATTTTTTAAGGGTTATTGTATGGCTACTAAAAGCGAAACTAATGATATTCTTTATTTAAAACTTATTTACAAGTTTACACTTGTTAATCACTGCGATACTTAAAAAAAAGAATGCAATGTATGTTAGCTAAAGAAATATAAAAAAAAAACTAATTAAAAATAAAAATAAGAAGAAGGAGCATATACCACACGCTGGTTAAAAGTAGCGAAATTCTCGTATATTTAATACAACTAAAATTACATAATTATAAACGTTTCGGTCATTAATGTGACCATCTTCAGTATATAAAGAAAACTTATAATTTAATTCCCCTAATATATTTTAAATAAAACTAAGTGCTGGGGCACAACTTATCACATGTTTGTCAATTATTCTATAATATAAGATACTCATCAGTTATAATTGATTCTCTTTTTGTCCAACGTTTAGTCCTTTCACATGGATGTCGTCGAAATTCCTTTGAGACAGAGTCTGGAAACTTTTGTTCTCAAATCATGGTCGATGCCAATACTTTAACAAACTCATTATCCGAATTTTAAGGACATGAAGGAAATTATATTGTATACTGTTACGTTTTGATATGATCTGTATGCGATTCACTTTTAAATTTGACACCATTTCTATTTGCGAATTGACTTTAAAATTGACAAATTATAACTGATGAGTATCTTATATTATAGAATAATTGACAAACATGTGATAAGTTGTGCCCCAGCACTTAGTTTTATTTAAAATATATTAGGGGAATTAAATTATAAGTTTTCTTTATATACTGAAGATGGTCATATTAATGACCGAAACGTTTATAATTATGTAATTTTAGTTGTATTAATATACGAGAATTTCGCTACTTTTAACCAGCATGTGATATATGCTCCTTCTTCTTATTTTTATTTTGAACTCAACCACTTGATCTTTAAATAATTTTTAATTAAATATAAAACTATCTTTATATTACTTTCTTCAACTCTTATTACACTAAATCATACACTAGTTGATTTTTAAATTCAAGTGTGATCGTTTAATAACATTCTCGCAACATCCAGCTTTCTTCTCTTTTGCGCTTTCGAGAAAACAATTCTTTTCTTGGTGGCAGAAGACCAACTTAAACTTCCTCCCCTTTTCTCGTCCTTAACGTTCTCCTGCCTCTCGCCGAAGACCCTAGGAAAAGGAAACGCGACGCCCCATTACCGTTTTATGACGCAGCTTCGGTTACATCTCCCGTTTCACCATTGAGCTGTTCGCACTACCAATAGTTTACTACATAAAGGCCACGGCCGGCCCTCCGCTGCTACCTCGATTTATCTTCGCGTGTGCCGCGAACGAGGACGCGCCTTCTTCCTCGTTAGATCGAAGAATAGTCGCTACCAAGGGAAGTGTGGAAACACATTGCAGTTAGTATTAAATACGATTATATCTTCATTGCTGATTCAATTTCCTCTCGTGCTCATCTGCCATAAGCATACTTTAATATGGAATTTTATGTCATATCCTAATGCAAAATTGCTTTGTCCACATAATTTGATTGACCTCTGAAGCTTACACATTCAAACTTTTCTACAATTCACTTAGAAATTAGATTTTAAATTTCTAGGAAAGTCAAATAAGTCTTCCGAGTTATACGATCGTCTATTACATCGTAACGTAGGCAACAACCGCTTACGTTAATGACCGCCTCAAAATATTAGTTCTTTTTAACTGAACTTCTTGCATATAGGTTCGTCTTTCTTTCTTTCTTTTCTCTTTAGCTAAAAAGAACAGACCTATTATGGGCAAGCTCTCTAAACAAGTCTTAAAATCTCCCTCTCCCTCATCCATCCCATGGTCTAGACCTCCCATTCGTCAGGATGAAGAAAGGGACCCAAGATGTAGAACGTTGGGGTACATATAGGGCGTATTTCTTTAAATCCGGACCTTGAAGCAAGACTATAAAAATGCGCGGTCCGACCGTCCGACGTTCGCGTTAGACAGAGAGCACGGTGCAGGGAGAGAATGTTCCGTGCAACAACCAAACCCATGGGCGGAGCGGTCAACGCATATTACGCATATGAATGTGTGTGTGTTTCATATGAACATGCATACCCATACATAGCTTTTGCGGTTTATTTTCATGACGGCAACACTGTAGAACAATATACCCAACGGAATAAGTGGCCTTTCTCTGTTGGACCTTAGTGCTTCTCCCGTTGTGTTTTTTATCTTCGTGCAAGAAAACGAAAAAATTTTCTCAAACTACCGTACATGTGTATATGTATATGTTTCGTGAATATATATATAGAATGTCCTAAACTTTTTGATACACTGCTTATGGGCAGATAGATCGGACTAAGCTGAGTCGAAAGGTCTAACATTTTGCAATTTATGCAATAGTTAATGAGATATTCATTTCTAAAGATTACCGAATAAACAGGTAAAATCGGCGCATTAAACAACTTTAATGGATAATTCTACAATGTGCTCTTTGTTTTCTGTTTCTTGCTGTCTGTCTCTTGCCTTTTGGTCAAAAATTTTATTTCAATTGATTTATTCTTTGGAGCCTTTCCTCAATATAGTAATTATCTTAAAGTTGTTTTATACATCGATTTTATGTACTCTGCTTATCAGGTAACTAAAAATTGCGAAAATTTCAAAAAGGTAAAGGACTTTTCAATTTATAATCAGTTTAGTTTAGTCGGATCTATTTGTTCTATACTAGTAATGTATCAAAAAGTTTGAAACACTGGGTGCATCCAGAAGCACGACCGCTCACTGAGCGCTCAGTGAGCTCTTGTACCTGTTTGGATTATATGTTTAGATCTAATGGAACTCAAGCAGAACAACAAGTCATCATAGTATCAAAATGATGTCAAAATGACTCCAAAGTGATCAATAAAAGTCATTTTTCAAAAGTCATTTTAATGTCATTTTGATGTCATTGTGACTTCATTGTGACTTGATCTTCTGGTTGGGAATATGTCAATCAGATAAAAAAAGCTTATTAAACGCTCAGTGAGCGGTCGTGCTTCAGGATGTGTATATCTATTATCTGACTTACCTTTCTCGATAGTCACATATGAGTGTGCCTCCAATATTTTATTTCACTTTTTTCTCAATTTTATGTTCCTAAAACAATTATGTCTATACATATGTATATTTGAAAACCCATACAAAAAGTCTTTTAATGTAAGCATAAAAAATGATTTATGAGGGTCATTTCTCTATAACGGTCAACTATTGTATTCATTTTTGTCAAAAATCATTTGTATTTCTTTTGTTTTAAAGTAGTTAATTTCGTTTACATAAAGTTGACCATTGATTTTTATCTACTAAAAATCTCGTTAACAAGCTTTCATTATCACATCTCAATTTTCAACGAATCGTTTAGTCAAAGGCACAAGTTATTTACTCGTTACTTAGAAAGTGATTCGATACTTTTTTTTTGTTACCTTTTCTTTTGTAATATTAAAGCAAGGTATTAGATTTTAAAAATTATTTAATTATTATTAAATGTAATCAATACTAAATTTTAAAATAAAAATAAGAAGAAGGAGCATATACCACACGCTGGTTAAAAGTAGCGAAAATCTCGTATATTTAATACTACTAAATTTACATAATTATAATAAACGTTTCGGTCATTAATGTGACCATCTTCAGTATATAAAAAAAAACTTATAATTTAATTCCCCTAATATATTTTAAATAAAACTAAGTGCTAGGGCACAACTTTTCGCATGTTTGTCAATTATTCTATAATATAAGATATTCAACAGTTATAATTTGTCAATTTTAAAGTCAATTCGCAAATAGAAATGGTGTCAAATTTAAAAGTGATTCGCATACAGATCATATCAAAACGTAACAGTATACAATATAATTTTCTTCATGTCCTTACAATTCAGATAATGAGTTTGTTAAAGTATTGGCATCGACCATGATTTGAGAACAAAAGTTTCCAGACTCTGTTTCAAAGGAATTTCGACGACCATGTGAAAGGACTAAACGTTGGTCGTTACAAAAAGAGAATGTGAAAAAAAGAAATGAAAGAATGTAAATTTTAAAACTTTAAGCTAGTCTGTATATACAATAAAAAGCTTTTTTTTATCGAACTTATTTAATAACTTTTTAATATTTTTTTACATTAATATTTTTAATTTAATATATATAATTACCTTTAGAACTTTTTTAAATTCGTAAAAATTGAATTTAACGAGTGCAAATTAAATGCATCTTAAGATGTTAATACAAAATATTTTTCAATATTTAAATTTTTATATAAATAAAATTCTTTTATTTAATCAAAAATAATGCGATCTTCTAGAAAGATAATAGAGAATATTAAAGTAACGGCTTATTTTTTAATATAAAAATAAGGGCGTAATTTTCTTATTATAAAAATGTAACAATTTTTTTTGTCACAGAAAAAAAGCGATAATGACGTTACAAGTAATATATTATTTCCCAATTCTGCATAGTATATATGTTTATTATTTTAGATTATTATTTCAATATTAATTTTATTTACAAAATGACAAATGTTATTTTTTACTAATTATGCATTTTTAGATTTTGGTAATGCCGATCACTGGTGAATAATATAAGTAATATGCAATAAATTAAGAATCATTATTCCTTTATTTTTTGTCTAAAAAATTTTAATAGTTGTAATTTAATAGTTTTGCAGCGCTTTATATACATATATATGTCTTAAAATTTCCAATATTTATGTAAAAAGAAAAAACGTATTTCTACTAATTGTAGAATTAAGTTGGTTATTTAAATATCAATCATTAATTTAGACATTTGTGAATTACAAAATAGATTTATCTGGCTAAGAATTGATATGATATGTGCAGAATAAAACATTTTTTTCAAAGTGCCTTTGTCGAATATTCTTTAATATTATAAAACGTGATTTATTTACAGAGATATGCTACCACTAAATTGTCAAGGCACAACTAACACTACAATTAGCAACTCAGTGAGTAACGGCGGTAGCATCCAATCTTTGCAGAGTATCGATTCCGATAGTCCGAGTCTCGCAATGTCACCTCTATCAACTATGGGCATGTCACCAGTCATGAATCCATGCAGCCCAATGGGTATGAGTCCCATGGGTCCTCATCATGGCTATGCCACTCCTGTTACCCCATCGTCCGTTCATACCTCACATTCCCATAATGGCGGATTGAGTCCTATGAACGATGTTAAAGCTTTGTATGGACGTAGTGTGTACGACACAGGTAAATTATTATAAATATTCAGAAAATGGGGAGTTCTTCTTGAACGTTTATATAAAAATTTATGTATTTACATTATTTTAATTTAATTTTATACAACGTAATATCAATTTATAAGACATTTAAAACTTAATCTCTTAATTCCTATTTTTTAATTTTACTTAATCTATAGAGTTATATTAAAAAAGAAATAAATTTTATGCATAAAATATCATTTGCAATTGATAACATAATTTTAATATATACATTCCTGAATTTAAGCTATTTTTTTGTTTTTTATTTGTATCATTCTAATTTTTAATGTTTTTAATTCGTAAGGTAAAGACGTAGAGCAGAGCTCAGTTTACTACTCCAGCCATTCCAGTATGCACCACCAGTATTACCAGCAGACTCATCATCAGATGATGTCTAGCTCCCATCATCATCATCATCATCAGCAGAGCGTGCCGGCCGGCTACGAGATTATGCTGCCGCCGCCTTCCATGTGACTAACGGATTACGAGGATGACCGAAGTAACCAAAGTCTCCACGATAACAACGACGTGGTGGCTCGTATACACGCCTTCGCCTGATCCCTTCGCTTCTTCTCTCAATTCCAACGTTTCAATTCCAATCGCACGCAATAAAGAACGATATGTGGATATCAATGAAATTGTTGTTTTAAAAAGCAGATAGTACAATCGTTTCTTATTTCTGAAAAGTATTTACTTAAAAAGATAGCGAAGGTTGTTTTTACACGTTTTCTGTGAACGTATAGGGTGCGGTTGAGTTGCCACTACGAATGTTTTGAAGCGTTTGATTGACCAATCAAAAGAAAGAATTTTACAAATTGACCAAGAAACGCTTCAAAGCATTCGTAGTGGCAACTCGACCGCACCCATAGTCTAACGCTACATTTAAATGCGAACGTTTTTGGGTTATTCGGCATGAAGCGGATCAGTCATCTTTCAGAAATTTTTTTTATTTTTCACATAGGTAAGGACTCTGAGAGATAGAATTTTGTGCCAAAGGAATTTTTGTTTATTGCAGAATTAATTGAGATACAATTAATTAAGAATTAGACTATTCTGGTTTATAAAAATTTATAACTCTGTTATTAATATTTTAAGAATCGGCAGAAAAGTGGAAGGAATCTATTGAAATTTGAACTCGGGACCTCTTGTTTTTTCAAATCTACCACTCATTGTCAGTGTGTTACACCAACGATGCTTCACTATTGTTATACTTATTCTGATAATTTATATATTTTTTTAAAATGTCCTTACGGTTCTTCTATATTATATTCTTGATATTAAATCAATTTTTGAAGGTGATTTACACGGTGATTTTTTGAATATATTTTCAAGCAATTTTTATATTTGCATGTACATTTTATATGTACATGTAATAAAATAGGAACAATAAATAATTTATATTAAATATATGTCAAATGAGAGGTCTGAAATTTTTACTAATTAATTTTGCAAATTAAATTATTTTACAAAATAATTTAGTATGCTCTAATTAATCTACTTATTGATAATTTTATATATTAATATTGTTATTAATAACAATATTAATATACAACTATATGTATGACATTATATATATATTGTAATATAAATTATACAATCATAGCTGTGAAATGGAATGTAAGTCAATGTTCTGATTATCTATTGCTTCCTACTTTTAGTATCAGCTCTAAATACTATCTTTTTGAATGAAAATTACCGTGGAACCTGTATAATAAGATCATTTTATATACAAATTTCTGAGTACAACTACTTAAATGCTAATTATCGAAATCGTTGTCAAACAAGCGAATTAATATAAAGACAAGAATATAAATAAATATAAAAGACTTGATATATGACAGACAGTAGTTAAAAAACTAGTTGTATTTTGCGCACTTTTCTCCAAAGTGTGCTCCAGTTTTCGGTACCAAAATTTTTCTTACGAAAATATCACTATTTGGTTTATTCATATATTTAAACATTTTATAATCACACAAAAATTGTGCTCTATAAAACAATAAAATTAAAAATTAAATTAAAATGTATAATTAAATGTTTTGCTTATAAATCCAAAGACAATTGTAAAATTTTAATAAAATTAATTTTTTTTAGTATATTTCTTTCTTATGTTAGTCGCAGATTAATCACTTTCTCGCAATGTAAACTATATAATAATTAATCGTAAAATATCAATTTTTAATTTCGAGGTTTTGCAAGTTTTAGAGAATCTTTTTTATGTGTTTTAATGTAACATCCTATTTCTTATAAGAAAATATCAGATATGCGAGTGAAACCCTGTAGTGAATGTAAGAAAAATGCTTATTTTGTTAGATGTATGATATTTTTTAACGTGTGTCATAAACGTTATGATCTTGGCTATTGTAAATTCCTGCGAAAAAAAACTTGAGAATTTGTCTATAATGAAGCTTCTGACGAATTACGATGTATGGTAAAAAATGGGAAAGACAAAGCAATTATTAGCTTGTAGCATAGCTGGAAAAAATTATGCCGCCTAGTTTTCTTTTTCCAGTTTTTAATTGTATATAGGTATTATATGAATTATGTATGTAATGTATATATTGCTAAAAATAACAATGTATTACGGATTACTGGGTTTTAAATAGACCTGCGTTCATACATACATGCACACATGTATATGCATAGACAGAGACACATGTATATGCATATATACACACACACACACACACACACACACACACACACACACACACACATGCACATTTAGACATAAATCGTACGCAACCGTACGCTGCTTCATCCCTACTTTATTTTATAAGAAATGCACACAAAACAGCTATATCATTATCAATTTACATATATATACACAAATATATTATAGATGCTTTATGTAAAATACATATTCCTCCAAACATTGCGCATTTTCTTTAAACCTCAATTTTTTTTACTAAATCTGGAGTAAGTTTTTTTTCTAAATTACATTGCTTTAAACATTTTTTTATAACTGCTTCAATTTACAGTATCAAAATAACACTTTAGTAGATATTAAAGAATTTTACGTTTTGTTCGTATATATTTTGTTAAATTAAATATAATTTATCTGATAAACACGAGAGAGCATGTCAGAAACGTATTAACAGTCGAAATAGTAGATATCTTCAATAAGTATGTTTATACGTACAGCTGGTAGATTCGCAGCCTGAAAATGAAATTGGGAGATAAATGCAAAAGATTTCTCTTAAACAACGCCAGAGAGCAATACCTATACAATAGAAATAATGTTTACAAAAAAGTTGTTTTATTAAAGCATCTTAATTTAATTTAAAAAAAAGGATAAAAAGAGAGAAAAAAGATTTGTATTAAAGGTTTTAATATTATCTCATTAACAATAATTTAATATCTTTTTTAATACAAAAAAATTTGCGATAAATTAAAATTGAATAAATAAACAAAATATATATTTGATAAGAAAAAAAAAGCCGTATTATATTTATTTTTATTAATGATACGGAGATGTACATAATTCCAATATGCCCGCAAAAGAAAAAAAGAAAAAATGATGAAAGTCTCATATTTTGTATCGAATTTCCGATTACAACATCACATATCAACAATTTTATTTAATCTCGGTTTATTTAACATACAAGAGCTGTTTCTTAACATTGCGCGTCCAGTATGTATAGCTGTATAATGTACGTATATGTTATAAGTCTAAGTTACATTGATATGATCACGTTACGGGGTATTTGTACAAAGAGCGCACAAGTACAACTACTCGATTTGTTCGTAACTGCATTCAAAAACCGGTCATAACGTTCGATTCAAAAAGTTGTTATTCATTTCATCTATTTTCTATAATATAGCAATAATGATTTCCGATGTACTATTGGATGTAATTGCGAAAAAGCGCATGCGAAGTAGCACTTTATCATTTTCATCATTTTTTTTTAATCGAAAAAAGTCAAATATTCGAAGTATCGATATATCTTATAATAATAAATATTCTCAATATTTGATCGCGTATTTCAAACATTTAATGCAAAAAATTAAAGAAATAAAATAGTTATTTTACAATTTTGCAAAAATAAAATCGACATTAGATTTAAGAACGAACTGTGTTTCTTCTCTGTAAAAGTAATTAAGAATATTCGCATTTTAAAATAATTATTCTGTATATCTTTTTCAGGACGCCCTATATATTAAGCTTCGTTTTCTTTTATGCGAATATAATTGGATATCTAGCGCGGGATATAAAATATGTTCCCATCGTACGTTCCGTATTTAATGTCTTAAGTTAAAAATTTTCTATATAAATATGACGTATTTCAATTTCTATGAAGGATATTTTTCATGTTTGTTTTTCAATTGATATAAATAACGATTCAAAATTTTAATTCGTTTACATGACTGGTTTTATGTACCAGCGGAATCGATCGACGTCAAACGTAATATTTGTGTTCCTCGTAATTTTTCGCCGCAAACGACCGCGATTTGCCCCATTTTTTGTCCAACAAGCTCGATAAAAACGCAAGCTACGTTTAATCCGCTTCTTCCCGGCGCGATTGATTAAATGGCGTCATTTACTTTCCCGGAGGTTTGAAACTGAAAGTCAGAGATAAATCGAATACGTTGGACCGGTGGTGTCGCAACACTAGATCACATACTTTGTGGGCGCGTATACGTTATAAAATTTCTCGACAAAGTCATGAATCTTTTTCTTTTTTTTTTTTTGCAAAGCGCAGACAAATGTCCAATTCTCGTTTATCACAAATTTTATTGTATGCATTGTCCGCTTGGAATCATCGCCAAGAACCGACTGCGTGTGTGCTAAATTATTACTACTATTGTTATCATTAATTGTTATTGTTACTGTCGACGTTATTATTATTGTTAACATCCTGCGTATGATAACAATGAAAGAAATAATCCTTACAGGTATATACGCTATCCGGGTCTGTCTCATCGATATACTACGTACATATTGTCTCTGAAGTACATACACACGTGCGAAATACAGCCTGCGGTTTATATAGACAATAAACGTATGGTATGCGCGCACGTGTTTACACGATTACAACGTGTATGTGGATATAAATAAGTCTAATATAGGCTATATGGTTATATGTATATACGAGATATATAGGACAAGTCACATTGAAAAAATATATGTATGCGTTTTAATTAGGGAGAGAGGAAGAAGACGAGCTACGTGCGTTCGTGTAAGCACATGGATATGTATGGTTCATCAGCAGGGACGAGGGATCAGTTGTTCGAACGTGCAAAAAAACCATCGTCCGAAGTAACTTTCTTTTTTTATATTTTTTAAATTTTAATCACATTTATTTCGTCTTCATATCAGCCTGATTTTATTATTTATTATTTATATCCTTTTTCATCTCTTGAATTTATTTCCTTATTTTCCGTCCGTCTTTTTTTATTTTTGTTTCTACGCTTCCACAAACGTTCTATACGTTACGTTATCTTATCATCGATCACTGTTGTTGCCGCACATTCCACCGCAGCGTGAAATATATACGAACAGGAGAGGTGCGTCTATCTAAGCGTGCTGTTAGTTAGCATCCGAAAATAATTCGGGTTTACCACCCGAGAATTCGCAAGCCGCCGGAGAACGAACTTCCGGGAGTATATGTACATGTACAAGCAACCGAGAAGTTACGGAACGTAATCATGTATTATGTAACATTATCGCGATCCGCGCACCGGGATACCTGTCGCTTGCATCGCGTCGAGCGCAAATCTTAGAGTCGGTCGATCTTATCGCGATAGAGTTTCGAAGAAACCGAGAGCCCTCGCGTCATTTCAATTTCACCTTAATCTAAACTTTTACGATATATATATATACATGTATTTCTTTCTCTCTTTGCGTGGTGCGGTCGCGGGTGCGATAGCTTCATTCCTATGACAACTGAATCGGGAATTCTCGTCGGATATAAATATTACACGTTGTACTCGCGACGAGTATATAAGAACGACAATTTATATTAATAAAATAAAACGTATAATATATAGGAACAGTCTAATAACACAGTTGTTAACAGCTAATCTACGATTAAGTCTATAAACTTGTTCTCACCACAGCAAGGCGAGATTTAAATAAATCTTAGATAAATTAGGAATTAGTATACCTGTAAAAACAAAAATATATTGTTTGAAGTAACACGCAGCAAATGAAAAGGCATTGAACGAATTTTCAATATATAAGAATATAAAAAAATAAAAAATATATCTTTTTAGTTGGTAATAAGAGATATTCAATAATCGCTTCAAAAATTTACACCGAACTTTCGCGAATATTTGCATGCAAAAAATGAATACTTTTTACTTCGGTATAAACACTCATCAATATAATACGAGATAATAATGATGGTCCAGAGATCAAGGGAACTAATACTACAATGTAGACCTCTCTTATGATTTTATGATTTTCTTTTATGATTTTTCATTTAAGTTAGAGTCCTACGATGGGTTAACATTAATACATTTACTCTTATATTAATTAATCGTAATTACGCTACATTTTTAATTATATTATAATTTACAGTTTACGCAATGTGTGTGTGTCATATTAAGGGATTCAAGAGGATTCGGCAATTGTAGTACGTGGTTGGTGCAAATTGGCGGTTCTCTCTTGCTTCTCCCTTTTTCTTTCTTCCAAAGTTCATAACACTCACTGCCGCTTACAAATAATACTGAATCTACTCAAAGTATTTTCAGCCGCACCCAAAGAGAGACTTCCTTATGCTGTACCGTGCGCAACATTCCGTGACATTCTTTGCTCCTGACAGTATTTGCTTTAACATCGAATTAGCGAGATGTTAATAACAGCACATTGCATACATCTAGTAATAATTTTTTCTTGTAAGATTATCGACGAGTTGCAAATTAGCTATAATTAACTCTTAAAGGAATCTTTTTCATTTACAAAAACAGTAGAAATTTAGTATATAACTTGAATTTAATAGAATTCTAGCTCTTTATAAATTTTGTATAATTTTAGTAAGATATTTTAGAAATACTTTAATTTTTCAAATAACCATATGGAATATTTCTTCGTCTCTAAATAACTAATAAGCTGAATTTACAAATAAAAGATTCGTTTAAGAGTTAGTAACCGACGTCGCGTAATCGCAATCGTCACGTAAGGTTCATGGAATTTTGTCGGCGATCGTGTATAAAACAGGTAGGGAATCGAAAATTTACTTTTGCATATTGCTCAACGACAAACACACGCTCTCTTTGGGAATCAATAACAGTCTTTTACAAAGGTACAATCTTTTCGTTTCGATGCACCGGGGTGTCGTACACGGGCACACACTTGTAATATTGCGGGGGGTACGACGCATACGATGCTTCCGAGGGTGATAAACGGCCACGGAATCGGCTGCGCACAATGTGGATTATCAGTAGCAGACACAGCAGCGCAAGTACAACGATTAACGTAATCGGCACTGTGCCCCAGCCACGGCTAGTAATTTGATTAATCATGTCGTTTTCCTTAATCGGCTGAAACAAATGTGATAATGATAATTCTTAAATTGCTTTCTTTCGATAGATTAATAATCCATTTTTCAAGATTCATGCAAAATTTATGCGTTCGTAAATATTATCTAATATATAGTTGAGAAAAGAGTTATATATTTAATATTAAAATGTATATAGTATAATACCGTATAACGTATTATTAAGTATGATTAAGGAATACAAAACTCACTGTAATCGGGCACATGGGGCAACAAGTGCCAGGTTTTGGTGGCAATGGATTAGTGCAGGCCACTGAACAGATGGTTTCTTTGCAATTAAGTCGTCCACCAGGCTCACAAGTGCATGTGTTGCAGCTGTTCGGGTGCCAAGTCGATCCCTCCGGATGCGTCTCGTTCAAATGGTCCATGCACGAAGCTCGACAGCGGCATATCTGCGAGGAGAAATACATTAGTGCTCTTAATAATAATCGTTTAATGTCGTATGATATTTCAAAATATGCAGCTTTTTGTTCTTGTACTCTTGTACTTCAATTATTTTTCATTTTAATTAGTTCCATTTTTCTATTTTCATTTATTCCACGCGTAAAATAATAATACAAACAAGAGCGTTGTATTATACTTACGGGGCAACCGCGTTTATTCGTCTTGTAACCGAAGCTGCACCTCTTCCTGCATCCGAGGAGCGGCGGACAGCCGGCGGTGGGTGGCTTGCACTCGCAGAAGGTGCAGTCGTTCTCATCCATAACAAGTTCACAGTGAAGGTCGCACTTGACCTCAGGACAGATATTTTTATCGCTCGCGGTGTCCGGGGTGGTGACATTTAGCGAAGGATAACGCGATGACGTCTGACAGGCACACACAGGACAGCCGTCCTCATCTTTGACGAGATCGCAGTTCAGCCCGCAGTGCGGCAGTTCCGGGCAAACTTTGTAATCTTCCGGTAGCACGTCCGGTACAAGGTCGACCTCCTGGAGAAGACGAAAGTCGTCAGTTTGCGAGATAGAAACCAAGACAGCATTGCCGAGAGGAAACCGCCGGAATTCCTCTTATTCGCGAACTTCGTCTTGCGCGTGATGATTCCGAGAAGAAAGCTTCTCCAGCTGCAGGTACGTTTCAGAGATAAGAGAAACTGTGTCTCTACCTTAGCTAGGTCACGACTGAAAATCCGCGCGCGGCGGACGTTGTTGCGGATGGTTGCATTTAGCTAACGTTGATAGGAAACGTTTCGTGGTGGATGAGGAGATACTGTGTGAGAGATTGCATTATCATCGCCAGCCAACCCAGAACAGTTCTTGTTTCGTATCGTATTCTAGATTGCGTAGTTTTATGTTTGCATTGCCATATCGTGAATATTACATGTCTACACATTATATGTTTACATGTCTATTAATTCAAAAAATATTTTCAAATGTAGATTTATCAATTAAAAATGTTGAGTAAATGTAAAAACTATATATATTAATTATTTTAATACTCTTTTATAGCGTTTTATTTTTTTGTGTTTCCCATATTTTTATTATTTTTCGACATTAAATAACACGACCTAACCACTGTTAAAGCTACACTGTAAAAGTGCAGTGTTTAAAATATTTATGTTCAAAACATCTTTGCAAAATAAACATTTAATAATAAAAGACATTTCAGTTTTAACCGTTTTAATGTTTTAAATCCAAACACATAATGTTTTGTTTATTGAAAACGTTTAAAACTAAAACATGTTTAAGTTTTTATAAACGGAGACAAGAATGAAGCGTTATAATATTTTAAAATTAAATATTTATTCTTTTATATGAGAGGGTACTTTTTTTTTTAGATCTGTTCAAAATGATCCATCTTATTAATCTGTACTCTTACCAAATCATCAGCGCACTCGCAAATCGGACAGTTATCCTTATCCGTACGGAAACCATGATAACATTTCATCTTGCAGTCATCCAGGGACTTGCAAGACTCGTCAGGATCAAAGGTGCTGTTCGTCGGCGACGGGCAGTGAGGGCAACATTCGCCCGGATCAGGTGGTATCGCGTTCTCGCAGGACTTGCACATAGTCGTTTGGCAAGACGCGATTCCGTCCTCGTTGCAGATGCAAGTGATACAGTCGTTCTGTTTCCACTCTTCACCGAGTTTCCTCGAGACACCTTCGTGAATACAGTTCTGTGGTTTCTCTTCAGCTTTTGCCCAGGAAATCGGATCTAGAAAGAAAAAAAAAACCGATAAAGTGAAGTTAGATAAAACAATATACTTACATTGACTCTTTAAACTATTTTACATACATACATTTTATTTTTTTTTTTAATAATTAACCAAAACCAACAGAATAGCGGTAAACAATTTTTTTTCGTGAAAGACACTAAAGGAAATAAAAAAATCATAATTCATATGAATTCAATCTGTTACATAATCCATTAGAAAAGAGCAAATAGAAAACTCAGAGGATTCCTTATCGCAGTGTACATTAAAGTATCGGATTTTTAATATCGGATAAAAAAATATTTAAGGATATTTTTGATAGAACTATTAAGCTGTTCCAACATCATTTCCTCACACCGAGATTTGTGATACGCTAAAAAATATAGGAAATATTTTCTGAAGACACTTTATAAATAACTCAGCATCGCCGCCGGGAAGCGTCGCCAAATATGGTAGTTTGCGAACGAGGGAAACTTGGGGGTATATGAGTGCCTCGGTGTTTCCGGAGTTAGTAAAGTCTTGCATAAAATTGTTGCGACGGATTTTTCGACGTGCACTGAACACATCGTTGGCATGATCTCGTTCGCTTCTCGCGCAAACCCAATCACGTTTTTAACAAATCCTTCAATCTTGATGAACAAATTTCTCTGGAGCTCTACGAAGAATCGCCGCGTTATTAGCAAGGTAACTGATTAATTATGCATACAAGATTACGAGCACGTATAATCGTCGACCGCGCGTTTACGCGCTCCTCTTCGACAATCAAGTCATTATTCGACGATTTTCCAGCGGTGACAAGCGCTCGTCCGGTAATCATCAAAGCGCCGGAAATTGCAGAATCTCATAAAGATTTACAATCCCGCTTAATATTCATAGCATCCTTAACGCGCGCACAAAGTCGTCTTACGCCTGTCGTCGCCGTTAATAACTGGCGAAAATCTGATTATCTACAACATTATTTCGTTACACGGACGATCGAGGAGGATCGTATCGTTGCCATTAAAGCTGTCGAGCGTTCTCGATGTAAAACAGCACGATTAAGCTTCCCGATGACTTCGCTATTCACGCGGGCGTTGTATTTCGCTTAGAGCGCTTTTATTTATGCGCGCTCTTCTCTTCTCCTCTTCCTCTTTACACAAAACCGAGTGCCTGTACGTAAAATTTACATGGCCAAGTACCGCTTGAGTTGGATAGTAAATCCTTAGCTGCTGATCTTTTCTGCATGAGACAATTCGATACGATGGTTTTAGTCGCCACGATGGCACTGATAAGAAATGAAATTGTCGCGTCGCGTCGAGAATTATTTATTTATAATACATTATAAGTAGACAAGTGCATTGTTCTATCTCTTGTAAAAAATTCAATTTTCTCGTGACACAACACAGCTGTAAATACAAGCCATATATATGCACTTTTGCGATCTTCACCTAAGTGCAGTGTGTGTCACCGCGATCAAGAAATTCGCGATAATTATCTTAATTATTATCTCACTACATTAGACGTCGATTTTCGAGCGCGTATCCGTTCTCTGCGTCGTGCGGAAAGAAGCATGTGGGTCAAGCGGTCGACCGTGGATGCGGGTGTATTATGTTCTATCCCCAGCCGTCTCATTTACGAGCGTTCATTCATAACGCCTCCCGAACTTTAAAGTGGCGCATTTCCGTGAAAAATCGGTTGAGTAATGTAAAGAGGCAAAAACAATTTTCGAGAGCCTCTACTGACGCGCGGGTGAACTCCCCATTATTTCCTTGTCGCGATATACGTGCGGACATACGTTCGTGCTGAAAGGGAAAAAATTTGCACGAATTTTTTTCATCGAATACATCGCTTGCTAGCTGGCTGGTTGGTTGCCGGTGGTCCCTCGTGTAATACATTTCCCCCGTTTCACATATAGCTCACACCGCCGGAAAAAGCTAAATTCCTGAGCTTTTGTAAGAAATATAAAAGAGAGGATGTTCTCTTTATATGGCCGGAAAACATTTTTTTTATTCCATCATATTTTATTATTCTGGATGTTTCATTACTCTTTGTAATCTATACTGCGGCGAGAGGGGACGATATCGACGGTCAAAGTTGAGGGCAATAATAGAAGCGCTTTTGTGAAAAAAATATTAAAGATTTAATGTTTCTTAGCAAAGGGAACGAAAGATTGAGAAGAGCGAAAAGAAAGGTGAGTTAAATGAAGATTTGTAAGATCTATGTGCTGCAAAACGAATATCCGACTCAATATCGTCGTAAATCTTTACGAAAATTTATATTTGAATTAATATTCCAGGCAGATTGAACGGAAGATATAATAATTATGCAGGTAGAAAAACGTTGACGACAAATCAATTGCAAATATCGTTAACAGCTTCATTAAATCAGTCGCGAAGTAATTATTTTTGTAATTAACATAATAAAATGTAATTAACATGTATATATAACATACACTTTTGCAGCGAGAATCAGAGTGAGAGAACATCTATCTATATAATTTAATCCCGTTGTACCGCTATTTACCTCAACGTGGTATCAGGGTTTACGTCAATATTTATTATCGCATGTACTTTTCGACGAAAGCGTATTAATTAAACGAGGCATCAACTATGTACGCGTGACCGATAATGCGGACTATGGGCTAATGAATATTGTTAACAAGGTAGAACGTTGTTTAACTGTCGCGTAGCTGTTTAAACACCGTCCCGTGCAATACGGAACTGAAATGAATTTAGCGTATGATGTATTGTAAAACGGTATTTAATTGCCGAGAATTCGATCGATTGAAGAGATGCGATATTCAAAACTAATTTAATCGATCGAAATATATGTACATATATTAAAACGTACATATTTAAATATTCTACGTATCTCATTTTTTTTTTATTTCTTGACGCCATGATCGAATATTTTAATTATTCCGCTCGCAAAAGCTGCTTAAAACTCAGCATTTATTGAGTGTGATATATCGAGGCGACGCATTGATTAGATCACCTTCATATGCGAAAATAACGAAGTACATTGAAAGTATAATTGAGTGCGATAAATCGATATCATTTAAGAGAACCAAGACGAGTCATTTCTTATCCGCAATAATAATATTTCTAGTGCGACGATTTGTAGCTGACCACAGCATGATCGTGGTGATAATATTATTAAATCTTAAAACAGGCACGGAATACTATTAAATTTTAACACAGAGAAATAGAGAGAAAGAGAGAGAGAGAGAGAGATTTCACGAGATAAGAATGACTTCATTAAAATTCAACAGGTAGATCGAAAGTTCCGTAGCAAGAGCGGTGACAGTGTAACTTTAAACGTCGTAACTTAAAAACCGCCCCTCGCTGAAATATCGCATTTGAGCATTATCTCTGCTTACAATCTGCGCGACTAGCATTTATAATGCCGGTCGATTCTGGAATGAATTTCAGAAGATAATAGTAGAGTTGATATTTTTAGAAGATCTCTCTCTCTTAATTAATTCTCAATTTTATAAAAATTACGCAGTAGTTTATGACTTTTCACGTTACACGTGGCATTCATAGTTGAAAGCAGCAGAATTTGTATCATAGAGTTGAAAGATACACTTTGTAACTAAAGTTGCAGGAAACTTTTAAAAACTCCTTGGTGAATTTCAAACGACGAGACAGAGAAAGATCTTGTCGTAATAATCTGCTTCTCTTCTAGAATCTCATTATTCTCGTCACATATTTAACATGCATATATATTTCGTCGCCCTCAGCTTTTCCGTCTCTCTTTTATAAATGGAACACCTCGCGTCCACAGGAAATGCGTTGATTACGATCGAGGAAGTTCCTTCGTGCCGATATCTGAAGTACATTGAGGCTACAAGCTCAACAAACGAGCTTGCCTCGTCAGATTGCAATTCGAGCATCCGAAAGGGAGGGAGAGAGAGAAAAGAGACAGAGGGGGAGAAGGAGAGATGAAAAGAGAGAAAGACAGGACTATCGAAGCGCAAGACTAGTGTGAGAGGGAAAGAGAAGGCAGATTGCTGAGATATCGATCCGATGTACGGCGTATTTCCGCGCGCTGTCCCTATCAGCTGACAGGAGCCCAGCAGCCTCGATTACGACCTTTCGTAATTACCTGAGGGTCTGCAATCATGAAGGGGACAACAGCTACCGGGTGTCTCGGGCTTGGCCGGCCGCACTTCGACCGGCCGTTGACCAGATCGGCACTTGGGTGGCGGACACGTCGGGACGCACTTGCAGATGCCATCGTCCGTTAGGACGCTATCCTCAGGACAGAACGACTCGGTCCGACGATGGTGATCTGCAAAACCGGTGTGATGAACACCACGCGAATTTGTGTTACCGATACTCGTCAAATGAGAAAGACGTATTCTATGCTTATCGCAACACTGTATATAGGGCAATTTATATAATATATTAATATATAAACGGGGTATTTCTTAATTGTCGGCATTTTAATTAGATAAAGAGAATTGTATTTTTAATCTTATTTTATTATTAATCTTTCAATGTGGTGTTTCAACGGCGCGGACGATGTGTGTGTATGTGACTTGATATTTTATATATCTTCGAAACTTTATTTCATCTCGGTTGTCTAAAGTCAACATTATCATCGACCTGACGGTTTTTTCAAACGGCCCGATTTAATCAAAGAAAAAGCTCGCGGTATTTACATCGCTATACCATCGTATCATTTTCTTGGTTCCGCAACAGTTCCGATCTTCCGCGCGCGCGGCCATTCGTTACACTCGGCAAACATTATTTTCCACCGCGAACACGGCCCCTTTTATGGATTCTATTACCTGAGGGAACGCAGTTGTAGCGCGGGCAGCAGTTACCGGGGGTCCCGGAAAATGACCCCCTTACCAGCGCTGCCTGCTGACCCGATCGGCACCTGTGGGGTGGACAATCCGCACATTTGCAACCGCCGCCGTTCCCGTTCGGCACGCTGTCCTGCGGGCAGCCGTCGACACTGTGCGCGGCTCCTTGAAACAGAAAAATCGCCAGTGAGATTAACGTCAGGACCAGAATTCCCGGGGATGGTCGGCGATATGTCCGACGGCACCGTTAAAGCGCTCCACGTCGAGAAGATATCTCCGTGTTGGATACCTCGGGATTCTTCTCCAAACGCTTGAAATTGCGCCAGGCTATTCGGTATACTTTATTATCAATGGTACTTTGCACCAATTTGCTGTCGTACAGAGTACCCGAGAATTACGACCATTACTTTCGTATATTCCTCGACCGATTTAGAGAAAATTTATCGTTGATAGAAACGTTAAGGTACAAATAGCGTCCAAGTCCCGCGAGCCATAATTCTAAGACATTCTACGATCTACATAGAGAAAGATGATTTCAATTATTATTTTAATTTTTAATTTATAATGGCATAATATATATTCATCTCGGATAAGATAGAGAGTTCCAAGGAAATATGTATATTATTACCAGGAACTTGTTCTCAGATGAGGTGGTCTATTGGGTTTCTATATATGCTTATTCAGTTCATTGAGTTTCAAGCTAACGATAACGACTCGAGCGTTTCTTTTTCGTTCAAAATAATATAATGACGGTAGCAATTTCTCGAAAATAAATGTTGCACGCTGCCTTTCCCAGCCTGTCGCGAATAAATCTTTTAAACTCCTTCCCATTAATAACCTAACAGCAAATGCTCTGTAATTATGTTGATATATGTGACAGGCGAACGTGTGCGCATCTCCGTGAAAAAGATGTCGGTTCTTCCGTGTGGACCGCTGCGCGCCGTGTCACAAGTTATACGATGTGTACCGGTGACATTAATATAAATTCCCAAATGAGTAAGGAAAAGAGATATATCCTTGTCAGAGACACGGCGAAAATCGATTATTTTATTCAGCGGATTATCCCGACCGAAGATATACACACGTATTGTGTCCCATGTGTTCGCGGAAGTTCCGTCGTGCTGGAGATACGGAACGAGAAAAATAGTGAACTTGATGGATGTCAAATCGGAAATCTCGGAGGTACGCGATGCGCTGAGGTATAAAGAGAATGATAAGCGGAATAAGAAGATAGTGCGAATCCGTTTTGTTGCCACCGATAAATTCCATTCCTGGACAGTTTTATAAACGGAAGCGAATTATTTTCTAACGATTCATTTACAGCCGCTGCGTCGCGTTTCTGTTTGTTTCTCATATGGGAATAACATATGATATTCTTACGCCATGGGAATTAAAATTCGGGCGAAGTACAAGATCACATCGTAAAGAGAAGTTTGAAGTTAGATATTCAGAAACATCGTATTTAATTACGAGATGGCTATACTTATTCTCGGAACTCTATCACACTACGCAAATGTTCATAACATGAGTCATCGTTGTCTCATACATACTAAATGTGTTTGTTTGCATATAGAGATAATTTCCTGCAGATTACATTCGTATGATCCCAAGTTTTGATCTTGAAAGTTCGGCGAATTGTGTTGTTAGTGAAATGGTTACAATTGGAATTCTCATATTATTATTCATACTAAAAAAATTTTATTTAATAATATAATATTTATGGTAAGTAAATAAATATTTACTCAATAAGAAAACGATAATTGAATTAAATTAAGAGTTCTTCTTGCCAAATAAATATATGTCTACATTTAATAAATATTTAATTAGTCATATTCAGACAAATATTTATTAAATATTAGAGAGAGAGAGCATTCGTTTCAGTTTATGATCTTCCAAATAATTGTATTTTTATTTGCAGTTTATTGTAGCACCGTTGTCGCGTTATAAAAGAATTCTAAGCTTAATCTAAAAATTTTCATAACGTACATTGTTAAAATATGAATCTAAAATAGAAGAGTTTACTGTTGATTCTATCATGAGATAACGTAAATGATATTCCGAGAAAAATATTGAAGAACATAGCAAGTGTGCATAACTGCGAGCGACATCGGAGTCTCTTACAGTTACGTGATATCACAACGAAAAAGCAGATGTGGAAGAAATACGTCGGAGAGAAAAGAAAAAGTTTCAACTTGTCTTTTGTATAGATTCGGAAAAGCAGAGTTCGTACATGTACAGAGAGAAGACATTTCTTTGCTATAGCTGTTAAGGAAAGTGGAATATGTGGGTATTTGAAATTTTGAGAACAATCCTCTAACGGGAAACCGCAAGGAAGAATCCTGCGAAACAAACACACGGATCTTCGAAAGGAACCCAAATTCAGTTACACAAAATATATGATAAGAAAAGTCGTCTTATAAAATACTTTCGTAGAGAGGAATGCCAGGTGAAAACAATCGCAATTTCAAGAATGAAAAGGGTGGAATTGCTTTTACAATTAAAAGTTTCCCCTCTGAAATTTGAGAAAGCGGATTCTCTCGAAACTTCGTTTGCGCGTCCTAATAGACCTTAATCCTGCCTATGAAAGTTTTATGTCGAACGTCTCGCTCATATACTTTTTAGATAATCTAAAATATACATCACATAGAATACACGAAGTACTTTCACCTTTTTGTGAGAGAGCTGCCACTTCAACGACATTTTTTTTATCATCAAAGTGTCCTTTTTATTAACGTTCATTGCCAGAAGTTCCGTCGAAATCGACGATTGCGGTTGATTCGTTGGATGAGTCTGCACATCCTCTTGGAACGCGCGATCCGCTGTATACCTATACTCAGCGAGAGGAGAGATCGATGACTTAACAGCGAGAACGCCGTGTGCATGATGTACTCGCAGTGCATTTCGTGTCACGACCAGTCTGTCGTCCGTTCGTTCTTTGCGTTTCGGCCGCTGACATGACAGAAACGAGAAGATACGATCTTCTCTTTCTCGTTCGGTGCCGGTTGCACGCAGCCTCTTTGTGTTCGGCTTTCGCAATTTCGCGCCGGAGATTTCGGGGTCGGATAAGTCTCGTCCTCGTTACTGCCGCTGGCGTGAAACGGCGAAGAAGAAACGAATAAAACGCGCCTTTCGGTTTTCGACGGCTTTCGGCGTGACTGAAATATACGTCGGTCAAAGGTTATGCCACGGTAAGTCGTTTAACCGAAAGGGTTATGGAGGCTTCTTCCTCCGTCTCTCGCAGTTCGCGAAAATCCCCCTGATATCCTTTTCGGCGATCAAAGGACGATATCCACTGGATTTTATTGCGTCTGTTTAAAGTCACGGTTTAAAGTCTGTTTAACGCTTAACAGTTCAGTCGCTTAAAGTCTTTCTGAGAAAGAGGCATATTTTAGATTTTACATTTATCTGTTCTTCATATTTTTATATATTTGTTATTATCACATACACATCATGACTGTTTCTGAATTAAGATGAGGTTGAAAGCTATTACAATTATTGTAATAAATTTTCGTTATCAATAATTTTTAACATTCATATAAAGTTCATATTCTTGAAGAGCATAGAATAAATTTTTCCATGAAAGAGAATATAAAAACTTATGTCAACTTCAATTAAACTTACTCGATTAATTTTATTTTTTTCTGTCCTAAAAGATATGCTTTATTTGTAATACTGATAATATATGTATAACAAGATATTATAATAAAAAGAGATCGTATGACTCTAATCTATTATTAATAGATTTACCTTCAGTAAATATTAGTGATACAAATATTAATCCAACTTAAATTTCATATTTTTTAATAAATTGATAGTGTATACTGTAAACTACGCAGCAAAACTTGTATTAATTATAAGATGGTTCACGGATCACAAGATATGCTATAGATATCAAGTTTAATTAAAGATTCCCTGTAAGGCTTTAATTAACAAAAAGATGTAGTTTATATTCCTCGATCGGCTTATAAACTTTCAGAAAATACAGATGAAATTTCGGACGTCCGTAAAAATGAATTCGTTGTTCAAGAGTAATTCGAAAGGATGGGGCGACATGATAGGGTAAGTGCTCTTTTTTCTCTATCCTTACGTCCCTCCATAACTCCCCTATTTTTTCAAGGATCCTTGCCCACGGGATCGATCGACGTGTTCTTATCTGTACCCTTCCGTACTTTAAGCGTTCGTCCTCGGCAGATAGTTCGCCTTGGGCACGCGTAAATCCCTAAAGATATCACAGCTGGATAGACTGAGAAGTAACCAGCAAAATTAACTTTAAAGGGTAAAAGATAAGGCGAGGAAGAAAGGATGGGCGAAAATTAGCTTTCGTTCTCAGAGAGAGAGAGAGAGAGAGAGAAAGAGAGAGAGAGAGAGAGAGAGACGGTTTTGGGAAACGAAGCAATATCCACGCGGTGGAATCGCGATTCGCGCTGCGATACGATCGATGTACCAGCTGATTTATTTCAGCGAGACGGTACGATATACCTCGTGAAACGATGGAGGTGAATGAGGAGAGGAAAGTGGGTAATTTCCTGCGAAAAATAACATCGTGCGGTGCCCACGAAACGGGCAGGCGCTATGAGGAGGAAGTCCTGATTGCTGCCCCCCCGTTGCTCTTTCGACAGTGACGAATGACTGACGAAGGTTCGTTTTGTATTAATAATCGCGCGCGCTCACACTCTGGACACAATCTTCCTCCAGGAAGCGTATTCCCAATTGAGTATTATACGTTATCGTAGTGTATTATCGAGCGTGCACGAAATAAACGAAAGTTCACTTGAAAAGGAAAAGATGAATTATGATAACAAAAGTTTCATCTCTAAGATACTTTCTTTGATCAATATCGCTGAGTTGCAGGTTTTAATGAAAAGAATATTGTATAGAACGAATTGTGTTTTATTCCTGTCGATTATATCTATACAGTTTGCAAACGAGATCACATAATATTCGATTAGACGCGCGCGTATACGAATATAATTTAGCAAAATTGATACGGTGACCTCCAAACACTGAACGGAGACTGGCTACACACATTTTTATACAATCTATGGTACATGCTGTTACACGAGGACATGGAAAGAAATACCATTCGCTGCAGAATAATTACATCGTCGAAAACAATGCCAATGGAAAATATAGGGCTCGATCCGATTGGACGGTTTGCTATTTGG